ATAGGTGCTTGAAAAGTATTTGCTGCATGTATAGCTAAATAAGCAGGGAAGTGAGACCTTGAGCGTATTAATGCTAAACTTCACCTTCATAGTCTACAAATGGTCAGAATAATACCTATACTTGACTGCTGTTGTGAGAATTAAATAAATAAAGAGTAATATTGCTGAGGCATAGTAACTGGCAAATGGTAAGAGTTCAGTAAAGAGCAGCCCTGTCATTTGGAAACATTTTTAGCAATGACTCATGACGTGCTAGAACTGAATCAGGACCTAATCTTGAAAAGCCATTGCTGGAAGTCAATAGTGGGCTTCCACCTGCTTCATTGACAGAGAAAACAGAATAGGAAGATGCAGGTGTTTCCTTGAAAAGGCAGAAAATTACAGGGTCTGTGTCTAAAGATGAAGCCCCATTCCTGAAAGGAATTATTGAGTTATGAAATAAATACAACCTCCAAGTTTTGTTAATGTTACATGACATTATATTGACTACCTGTGATTTATAATATTTTACATAATGACAGAAGCATGAAGATGTCATTTTGAAAATAAAAGAAACATCAAAAAAGAGAAAGAAAAATGCTGATGGTTATATCCACAACTTTGAATAATCTGTGTACTCAAAACAGCATAAAAACAGGAATAGAGAAAATTTCTGGTTTTTCTTTCTACTTTTAGTAAGATTTTTAAGAGAAGTATATTTTTGAAAACAGATGAATCTCTTACTTCTACTCTATCTTTACAGGGCTATCACAATATAAAGAATTGTTACAACAGTGGTATGACATCAGTAAAGAGTTTAGTATTTTATTTAATTAGAACTAAATTGTTAATGGCAACAAAGTAGCTAAGAACAAAACTACAAATTTCCCCTTAAAAACTCTCCCGAAATCCATCCCTATCAAGTATCTTTTGAACATCTTCCAAGACGCCCAAGATTGAATTACCTTAGGACAGAAGATCAATTTATTTTGCTACTCAATTCAACATCCTGGCACTTACACCTGACACAACCTCTTATTAAAGCTATTTTTGGAAATGGTCAATTTCCAAAGAAGATTCTGAGAAAACAGACATGAATTTTCTTTCAAATAATCTTTTAAGTTCTTTAAAATAAAAAAGTTTTATTTTACCTGTTTGCTTAAAACCTTTAAAGAAGGTATTGCCATAGCAAGACACAATTGCAGAATTTAGGATGAAATGGTTGATCATTCCTCTGCAAACACACAAAAAAATTTCCAAGACAATTGTGCAAAAGGTCTCAAACAATTGAGATCCTGCAAGATAGTTACAACTTGCATTCTAGAAAAAAACCTGAAACGCTATGATGTTTTTTCCTGCCAATTTATCCCTTTGCTCCTTTCTTGTTCTCAGAGATGAAATAAGTCAGCACTTGATGCAGCATAAGCAATAGGTGAATTAAGACTAGCATCTTGATTACTAGGATAAAAAATATTTTTGACATGGGTCATTTTCTTACCTTTATTGGTAGAAGTCAACAGAAAGTTGTAGAGAAAAAAACAAACAACCAAGGTATAAAATGCATTTTAATTCATTTAAATGGTTTGGTCATGAGATCATGTGAAATGATTACAGAGCATAGAGCTATGCACAGGGAGGATTACCCCACATTGAAAGAGGAGACAAGCTCATTACACTCATCACTCTAGGACCAAGTTCGTATCCCTATGCCACGGGTTTGGAAGAAATTCTCAGGTGCTTAAGCCAGATCAGATCTCAGAATGAACTTGGGGCCTGTTATGGACTAAATGTTTGTGTGTCCCCCCAAATCCATATGTTGAAACCTTAACCCTATGTGATAGTATCTGGAAATAATTAGGTATAAATTAGGTCATGAGGTGTTGGCTCCATGGTGGGATTTGTGTCCTTATAGAAAGAGGATGGGGAAGGGAGGGAGATGAGTAGGAAACGATGCGATCAGCTGCTGAGACAGATGCAGACACGAATATCAACTTTATAGCTATTGCAAACCTCTCAATTGCCAAAGCGGGGTAATTGGATCAGATCTGATTTTCAGAATGTTTTCTAAATATAGGTGAGTCAGAAAAGGAAAATGCTCTCCAATGAATTTGTGGGTGGTTATATTTGTCAAGACACTACAATGTCAATATAAATGAGTTTGGGATGACAAGTATAGTTTTCCTTGTTTTTCTTCAGTTTTTAGTTTTCTAGATAGCCCAAGAGAGAAAAATACCACAAACACAGAGAAAAAAAAAGAACAAAAAAAAATCTATCATATTAAGGTTATAACGGTGCAGTTATGGAGGTAATAATTTTCTTTCAAAATGATACCATTGATACAAAAATGTGTAAAGTAGGGAAAATACATGGACTTCAGATTCAGTTTGGATTGAAATCTCTGCAGTACTAGTTACCCAGTGTCTGAAGATGTAAGCTATAAAACAACCTGTTTGAAGCACTTCCCACAGTGCCAGAAATTAATCGCTATTTTTTCCCCATGTGGTGTTCTTTACTCTTCTAACAAAATAAGACAAGATACAGACTCCTTGCTGTTGTTCAGTTATTAAGCACCTCTGTAGGGTACTAAGCCATGCTTAGCACTATTCAGATTTATAAAGAAATTCCAAGAATTTGCTATGCCTTAAGGACTTTACATTGTTGCTGGAAAGGGGAGATAGGAAGCAGTTCAAAATAAATTAAGAATACCAGACTTCTCACCTATGCTGCAGATTCTTAAGAAGTACTGAGACTTTTGGATTCTACTGCACTAGAGACAAGAAAAGCAGAGAAGATAGGAGGATGGCACCGGAGGAGGGGGTAGGGGAAATGGCTAGTGTTTTTGGAGCATTTGCTAGGACACGACCTAGCATTCTTTCACATGCAGTCAGAGATCATGAATGAGAGAGGCTTGCACTACATATTAAAGGTAGGACTTAGATACTGAGACAGGAAATTGCAAGGGTGAGATCACAGAGCAGGGCTGGAAAAGAGACCAGAGAAGGATGCACATTGGTAGAGCCTGTTCCACTAACCAGTTATTATAAATGATAAAACCACGATAAACACAGATTGAAAAAAAAAAAACTCTTGGCATATAATCCCTCCACAAAGGCCCTTCATAACCCATGCCATCACAAACATTCAGATTTCCCCTTCTTTTTAAGTATTCAGGGCATAGATGAGTGTATCCCAAGCAGTCTACTTTAAAAACTTTCATGAAGGTATTAAATCCCTATTTTAAAAAATATAAGAAACATTAATTATAAATTACTTTCTCGATTAGGTTAGAAAAACACAGTTAACTTCTGTGAGTATTCATAGTGTAAGGGCCTTTACAAAAGCTTTTGGTACATATTGAAATTATAAATGTGTATACCTGTTGAGAACCCATTTATTTCTAAAAATTTATCCTAAGAGAAAACATCACACAAGTGTACAAAAGACATATACCCAAGGATTTTCAATGTAGCATTTTATATAATATTAAACAATTGGAAACCACCAAAATGACCATCAATAGGCAACTTGCTAATTTATGATTTATAATTTATAAATAATTTTATTCTATTTTTAATAATATATTGTTCAGCCGTTAAAATGATTATGTAGCTCTGTATCTACTGATATGGGAAGATGTGCACAGTGAAACAGGCATAAAGAACAGTATCCTATAAAACCATTTTTGTGAAATTGTGGGTGTCTGTGTGTAGAAAATGGTGATCAGTATGTTAATGATGGGGTTACACAGGACTGTGAGATTTAAGGTGACTTTTACTTTCTCTACATTTAATAATATTAGTATTATTATTTACATCAGCATGTAATATTTTGTAATATGAAAGAACAATGACTCTTATTTTCATTTTGGGAAAAAAAGAAACCTTCCCTAACTGTTGACAATACTGTAACATAAGGAGTGGCCAGCTGGCACCAGCCAAGACTTGAGAAAATGAGCCCCAGAGAGATATACTGCCTTTTCACAGGACAGATTCTGGGTGCAGTCCCTGGGCCAGAGAATTCCCTGATCATCAAGTGGTTTTTGGGAAGAGATTGTAGGAGAAACAATTCCAGTGTATCCTGCAGCTAGATACATTGTTCTAGTCAGTCTTTGCCAGACTCTGAGCTTCCCAAGGTCTACAAAAGTGTCTTACTAACTTTCTTCCCTTCTCCAAAGCCCAGCAGAGACAAGCAGTGAGCACTTAATTTGCACAATGGGACTAAAATAAATTGCTATGCTTTGTTTGGTTTTGAACATTAAAAGAGGCTTTGGGAAAGTCCCTGGCCAAAAACTGCTCACAGGGTTATACCTGGCCCACTATAGGTACCACTTTCAGCAAAAGGATCCTGTAATTGAATTCAGACAAATGTCCTATCATCTATATTATTTTTACAAATGCAATGTTTTTTGGTTCACATATTTTTCCATTAAAGAGATTAATTTTATTCTAATGTAGCTGCATTGGAATTTGTTTTGTGTTAGTATTTATGTTCAAAGTCATTAGCGTGTACAAACACATAGTCCCTGACACAACCTAATGTCAGTTTGGACAGTCTCAGAATGATTAGTCATTTTAGTGTTCTTTCATCACAGACATTTTTCTATCCAAGCAACTAAGAAGGGAGCCCAGACACTGTCATGTTCTCAAATAAAATTCTTTGCTCAGGGCAGACCATTCCTTGTGTTTTTCTGTTCCAAACAGAAATAAATGCACAAACAAAAAACCAGCATGGATTCTCTTTTTTGTATGACACACACATTAGAATAGAAGAAATAATTGGATGAAATATTTCATTAAGCTTCATGGAACTGATATGAAATAAGTGCTCTTATGTCCAGCAATCCATTCATTTCTTCCCAGGGACAATGTTGGCAAATGCCACAAACAGGCAAGAGTTAAACTGACAGCATTGCCGATATCACTGATTACTAATAGTGAAGAGCAACAGCAGTATTCCTTCATACTGTGCATTTAAGGATTTATTGGCTCAAATTAATAAAGAGAGAACTCTGAGTAGTTTACCTTGGCCAAATGAGAGTTGATCCATTTTGTGAAAGTACGTTTCTGTACAATTTCTTGCTCATCTACAAGAAAAAAAAACTATTTAGATAACATAGTATGTCATAAAGTTGTATCATGAAAAAAGTTCTGTTACACAACTCTAGAAATAATCATAATATAATTTATCATCTAATTCATTTTACCAATTGCTGTTTCAAAGAAAGAGTCAATAGAACTCCAAATATATTAATCAATTAGACTATTCCTTTAAAAATTATCAGCAAATGCTTTAACATGTGCAATATATTAGCTCTGTGGCTACCTTTATTCACTCACTGAAAGTCCACTGTACAAGTATATTGCAACAAAGCAGTTTGGAAAATGTTCGCTAAGACCAACTATGTGCCAAGTTTTATTCTAGGTGCAAAGAGATAAGAGAGATGAACAGGGCAATGACTCTGCCATGAAATATCTAGAAGTGGAGCAGACAGGCAAGGGCATATGTATGGTAGAGGGTTGCATGGTAATGCAGTGAGACAGAGCTGCGTAAGTTAGGCATTACAGGGACTCTATATGGGTGGGGAGCTTGGTGAACACTCTCTAGGGTGACCTCCAAAGACTGCACATCTTGGACTCCACACCTTTCCGCAGGCACGTGTGGGCAGAACCTGGGACTTCTAATATGACAAAGGTGATGAGATGCCACACCCATGAACACGCTACTTATTTAAGATTCCATCTTAGCTACTGGAGTGAGAGATGCTCCTGCTCACTTTGAAGAAGCAAACAGGCATGTGTGAACAGCCTATGGAGAGGGCCACATGGCAGGGAAGTGTGGGCTGCCTTTAGGAGGGGAGGGTGGCTTTCAGCCAAGAGCTGGCAAGAGGCTCAGTAATACAGCCATAAGGAAATGAATTCTGCTAACAACCTGAAGGAGTTTGAAAGTGCACTCTCCCCTAGTTCTGTATGAGAACGCAGCCCAGCCAACACCTTGATTGCAGACTGGGGATTCCCTGGGCAGAGGATGCATCTAAGCTTTGCACAGACTCCTGGTCCCCAAAAGTTTTGAGATGATAATTAAATATTGTTTTATACTGCTGAGTTTACAGTAATTTGTTATGCAACAAGAGAAAACTAATATTGGAAGAAAGAGAGGGTCCAGAAAGACTTTAATTAGAGGTAGAAAGAGATAAAGGCCAGAGAGGAAGAGCCAGTTTTAACACCTTTCAAAGAGTGAATTCTATTCATTCCACCAACATTATTGAATGTCAACTGTTTATAAGACACTAGACTAGATGTGAGGACCACAGATGAACAAGATATAATTTCAATTCCTTACTCTTTGAGAGAGATGTGCAAATCTACATCTCTAGAGCTGACATCTCCTGGACTCCACCTCAGAACATGTGACTGTCTACTAAAATAATGCCCATTATTTCTAATGTACTTTAAGCCTGTGCTTTTAACTTCCAAGTACATTCCAAAAACAAACCCGTATAACACACTAGATAACACTTCCATGTACCAGGCACCAATATCTATCTCCCTATCTGCAGATCACATTATATTTTAGTTAATTATTTTAGTTGTTACCCATCCTATGTTAACATATACATATTAACTCATTTAAATTAATAAAAATAAATTTATAAGCAGGAACTATTATAATACCCATTTTACAAATAAAGCCAAAGCACATACAATTTAAGCATTTTTACCAAAGTCGCCAGTGGTAGTGCCAAATATTAAGTCCCACAGGTCTGGCCCCTGCATCACTATCCTTTTGCCCGGAGATAGTACAGAAATTGCTATGTTAGTCATATCAAGTATTAATCACATTAAAATTATAAAGGCTTATAAAGTTCTCCTGTGTATTTGTAGTTATATTTAAGGGACCATTATTTAAACATATTCAGCGATTGATCTTATTAGTGGTTTTTCTGTCTTCTGCTTTTCAGAACAATATGATGTGATCTTAGCAAGTGTTTATACATATGAATACTTAATATTTCTACTAAAATTGTAAAAACAGTAATTCATTTAGACATTTTGTTGAACGCATATGTTGGTTTTAAACACAGAAAAAAGTTTGTCTATATCCCACAAGCAAACTCAGTCCTTCAGTTCTAAGAATCATACAGAACAAGAAGTTGATCCTGTTTTTAAATTTTATTCCCTAATTTATATTAATGCAACCTGAGATCCACCTAGTTCTTAAGCCTGAAGGTCATCCTTGATTCTTTACTCTTTCTCATCCCCCATATCCAATCCATAAGGAACTGCTGTTAATTTTACTTCCTGAATATTTCATCTGAAAGCTTCTGTAATGGAGGAACAGATAAAGTGTCAAGGGAACATATAAGTACAGGTGCAAGTAATTCTCCTATGCGGTGGAAGGCCCAGAGAAGCTGGGAAAGGAGGGGACGTTAAGTTGAAGAGGCTAAGTGGAAATTTGCGGGTAGAAAAAAATTTGTAGGTAGAAATTCGAAGGAAAAAGAGGCAGTCTTTTAAAAGCGTAGCATGCTGTATGAAAGGACAATGAAAATCTGCTATGCCTGGATTTATAAAGTAAAAAGGAGTTAAGAAGGTATTAGAGGTGAGCCTGGAAAATAGGTAACAATCAGGTTATGAAAACCTTTGGCCTCTGCTTATGGACCACAGGGAGCCATCAATGGCTCTGGACAGGACAAAGGCATGATCATATCAGAGCTGAGACCCAGAAACATATAGTCTGATGGCAGTAAAGAGGTTTGATTGAAGGGAAAAGAGGCTGGGGCAGGGAGGATATTTGGGAACATATGTTCTAGGGCAGCACCAACAGGGCGGACATGCATGAAAGGGGGCAAGGGAACTTCCAGAAGTAGAATCAAAGGCAATAGACAGACAGGAGCTCACGGTGCTTTCTACGTTCGTATCTTGGGCAACCGGATAATGATGCCACTAACCAAGAAAGGAAAGAGAAATAGCAGGCTCAAGGGGGAGAGTGATGAGAACTCAGGCCCATTGCAAATGCCTTCAGAAATGCCTGCATGAGATGGCAGCCTCAGCACAGGGCACAGGTGGTGCTTGAGAAGCCAGATTATGAGGCGAGGGCTCTGCAGGAACCTGCAACAGGGTCTGATTTAGCGCCAGGTTTTGATCCAGGTCAGTATTCCTGGGCAGAGGCAGCTCAAACTCCCCTTCTCTCCTGTACCTTGAATCTTGATTCCTTTCTAAAGGCCTGATTATATGGAGGAAAAGACCAGCCAACCAACCAAAGAAACTAGTTATGCAAACTCTCTAGCTCCTTCCCCCTTGAGGCTTCCATCACTGGTTCTGTTTCAAAAGCAGTTGGTCCTACAGACCTCAGGAGTTGGAGGCTGCTGAGCCTTGAGAGGACGTCTGTTTGGAGGGCTACGGTACGAATGTGGCCCTGGGTCCTGTTGTTACAAGAAATAATCCCCAAATTCCAAGGCGGTATCTCTCTCTAGGAATTAGTCAAAGATAAAAGGAGCTGGCTCTCATATTCAATTTGTATATTTTGTTGCCCTGTTTATATATTTCCTAAGTATTTTGCCATTTCAGTACAAGATCATGATATTTGAAGAAATGAGGTTCCCTTTAGCAATGGTGATTAAATTGACCACTGAGAAACAGTCACACCTGACTACAGCCAACAGCTTTCCTCCCATGAGTCATAGTAACAGTGACTTGCTGGTTTCTCACAACTGTGGTTTGTCCCAGTGGCTTACGCATGAACAGGTAAGCACAGAAGCACAGAGGCTACAGGAAGACGCAGTCTGGGTTATTTGGAGCCTTTGCAATCAACCATGAAAAATATGCTACCTAGAAATATATTTGTTGTATTTTCACTTTACCATATATATAATGAATTTACATAGTACGTTTTGTAAAACTGTGACCCAGAATCCTATGGTCACCAGCTTTTAAATAGCATTGCTAAATGTTAAAAAATTTAAATACACGCCAACATCCTTTTCACAGGTGATAGTTTTAAAACTTGCTAATGGTAATTAAAAGTAGCATATTTAAATATATTGAACAAATTCTTCTATAAGAATGTATTGCTGAGAGATACAGCATTCCATACATGGGTATGCACATAAAGATGTATATTTTTGTCAGAATCATGAACAATCACACAGAGCAAAATACTGACTTCCTAGGTAGGTCCATCTTTAGACAATGTCATCTTTAATATAGAAATACTAAGAAGAGAACACATTTATATAAATAGATATAGTTGTTCAGTCTATGACAAAATATTAGGGTGTCATGTATTGATACATTCATAGCTTACAATAGGATATGATTAACATTTTTGTCTTTTGCAGATTATGACTATACTCTTTAGGTGCTTTAATGACAATGATGGCTTAAATAAAAGTCTCTCAGATTTCTATTACCTGAAAATAAAAATGTTAATTTAAAACATTTTTAAATCATATTGTTCCTAATTATATCTAGCAAAGTTTTCTTCATCAATTTTGATGCGAATGGAGTCACCTCAGTGAAAAAGTTAGAAAGAAGTTTAAAAATAGAACTATGTAGATTGAATTTCTTGACACAACCTAATGATGTGGCTGCAATCACATCACCTGCAGTGACCTGAACTTTTATACCTGGCTACAGAGATTTCCTACAGAAAGCTGGAAGTGTCAACTGACTTCTAAAAAGATTCTGGAAGAGAGAATGTTGCACCAGAGAGGGAACTTCAGTTAGTGAGTAGAATTTAGAGGAAATACAAAAGGCCTATGAAATGGTAGCCTGGAAAATATGATGATTTGTCATACCCTTTTTTCTCCAGGAAAAAGATTTGCTAAGTAAAAAATAGCTTCAGGGTGATAGTAAATCAAGAGTACGACCATAAGACCTATTGTTAAGAACTCAGAAAGATTTAAGGTGGTGCGTAGTTGACTTTTTCAACTAGACAAACCAGCTTCTAAGAATTTTAAGGGCACAGCCCACAGCAGTTTCATATGTGCTCCAAGTTTCTTTCAAATTTTGGATTTGGGGGTGCATAGAATGAACTCCAAGCAGTTTTTATAAAGCTGACAAGTCTGTTAAGCAAAAACACCACCAG